ATGTCCGCATTGGGCTGCAGCTTGTTGGTCGCTAATGTCATGGTCCACTCCAACTTCCTGATCCGCCCGAAATCCGCTAGCTGAATAGTGCCGTCTTTCCTACCAGTTAGGACATTTTGCCACTCCAGGTCACGGTGGAAAACTTGTCCAAACCGTGCCCGTGGAGACCGCGAACAACCTGATGACAAAACCTACCCAAGACTGTACATGTACGCACACATCCGATATGGCGCATACCCTAACGATGATGGTATTTCTTTACCAATGAAATTTGAAATGATTTTTATAAGGTTGTGCCATTGCAAAGCCTGTTGTTAGAAGAATTGTCTAGTGCAAAAATGTACATCAATTTTGAAGGAACTGTTAAGCACCGCTTGTTACTGCCATGGAGTGTAATCGAACTTACTTTGACAAAGCTCCATGATACCACAGCTCTTCCCGCTGTCCGGTGTGAAGCCCGGGGCAACTCCATGCATCATGCATGTATAGCTCCACAATATCTCACTAAATTTAAATGCTGTTTATTGTGTATGAGGCGGTAATCAGTAAGAAAATCGAGGGCCGAAACTCTTGGATCGTCCGCGGGCAAGCGTTTAACCGTACTCACTTGTTAGCAGCGGCATTTACTCCAACATGCACCCCGGCTTTCGGCTGAACATGCACCCCGGCTTTCGGCTGTCCACTGCATTACAGGCATTTATCGGCCAGCGTGCAGGAGACCCCGGGTTGCAGCGTATACGCTAACGGCTGATTGCTACACGGTAAAGGTCTCTTCATCCAATGCATCCATCGGTTGGGTGGAACCTGGAGGTGCTCGATCGTGAACGAATGACAGCCTGCTTGGTGGCTTGTTATATGTACAGATATATCTGTGCAATATTCATAATCATTTTGAGTAACTGCGGTTTAAAACAAAGCAACCATGTTGGCATAATCGTATGCGACCACCGACCTGGGGACCTTGAAGAGGAAAGCCAGCATCCATGGTTTAGCTACAGCATAAGTCGACCTCCACAACTGCAACTGCTTTTCAGCGTGCTTTACGTTATTCACCACATTATCCACGTCGCGCGTTAAAGGCTTAGCACGCTCATGCTAGGATGAAAAATCAATACTTCTACTTATTTCAAATGGAAACAGCAGTCCTAAATGATGCGGTGCCGGTGCACACGCAAAAATCACTGCCTGGTTGTTCGAATAGGCCAAAACGTTATTAGACATACACGCAGCAAGCAGCACTGGGCATGTTTATTATTACATGGTACAGGACCAAGTACATGGTACTAAATGCCTGCAAATACACAGCAACTTTCACTTTTGCCGTTTCGCGCACGAAAGTGCGCGAAAGTAAAAGTTTCCGTGTGAATATACACTAATTTTGTACCATGTACCGGGTCTCCTTGCTTAGTGGAAGTGTGCCGGTACATGTGCCAGCACATGATAAAAGTGTACCGGTACAAGTGTTCTTGTTAACTTGTCGGTGTGATATCGACATAACATGCAGATTACAAAATACCATTAGTTATTTTGAAGATTAATCCGGTACAAGCCCGAGTACAAATGGAGCGTTTACGAAAACAGCGAAAATGGCAGATGCACGGTTTGCGGCAACCTCCATGCCATGGTGCGCCACACCACACGGATTACGCTTTTCATTGATTTGACAGGACTGGTACATGCCAGATATTGCTAGTACATGCTCAATTAAGTGGCGTAATTACACGTCATCCATCACCTTGTGGACTGCGGCAGGGCAGAAGTCAGTCAGTAAAAAGCGTAAATCTGTGTTTACTGCGATTCGGTTTACCCCATCCACCTTGGTTGTAGCACCATAGCGGACAGTGGACACTGTTTTAAGCGCAAACATCGCGCACTACTGCCTAATGGCGTACTACAATACTTACAGTCTTACACGCTCCCGTAGTGATCTGGTTTATACTTATTGTTAGTATTAAATGCGTCAGCGCTGCAATGTTTGCGTTTTTTGGATGTGGTGCAGTCCTGTGTGCGCCTGTGCGGTACGTCGATACGATACTACGTGCGAATATCTGTAGTTAAATGTATTGTTATTATTGATGTACTCGTATACTGTCATATTGTACATCCACTGAGTCCAACGGGACTGTGTGTAGAAGTACAGATAGCTGCGCTTGTTTCGTCAAACTTTTAGTGGCAGAAGGTACAACTGCGTACATAACGATGTAATGCTGTACTGGTGGCGGTGAGTACAGCTAACAGGAAGGAGCTCATAGAATAGTATAGTTGTTCGAGAGCTCATAGAATAGTGTAGCTATTACCTTTCGCATACGTTCCGGGTTTAGAGCTGCTACGGGCTCCCTGCTCTTGGGCATTTTTGGGCGGCTTTTTTTTTCTAATATTCATTGTTACGGTTGCATTGCATAATGACTTGTTATATCTACTAAGGTTTTCCTGGCTGTCGCTTTTGTGAAGGTCGGCGTAGTGTTAATCGACGAAATAGCGGTGAACACAGTAACACACTACAAAATCAATGCAAACCCAATTCACATAAATATCTGTACTGAGCAAAAGTGTCTGCTAAACGATATTTGTTTAACACTTATCGTTTTCGAAATGGCTGTGCGCCCAAACATTCCGGGCACGAAGGCTTCGGCTTTACGCCCACTCGTCCGGACGCAAAGTAATTTGGATAAGCTCCCGGTATCCGTGCGCACATAATTTTGGTTAACGTATAGCTCGCACTAATACTGTTAGTCTTGTGTCAGTACTTCAAGTAGTGCTTATATTAACTTCTAGTTGTATTTGCAAAAAGACGGTTGGAAGTAAAAACAACCTCCGTCAGAAATCTGCATTCATTAAAAACATTAGTAGAAGTAGGCTCTGCAAACCTTATCTGCAGGCAGGGCCACTGTACGCAGCTACGTACCTCGTGCGGTGAGTTGCTGTACCAACCAAGTAAGAACCCTTGTTGATGGAAATCGCCGATAAATAAAGCGGCCTGCTGTGCTACTTCTTTCTACGGATTACTCAGGTCTAGTTCGGCAAGTTCTCACCAGCAATCCATGTTAAAGTTTCTGTGATACCAGGCCTATTAATGCGTTGTGGCTGAGTGAGTCACGAAAACACCGATTTGGTATACTTTTGCGTATCGGTTTTTGCATATCGGTTCATCATCATCATCATCAAAAATCATCCTTCCATGCGGACATTTTAACGGGCACATATACAGAGGAGTACTTGTATATCATGATCGGTACACACATCTGCGCTTCAACGATGATTTCATCTTCAGTACTTCAATTACACGATAGTCGTTATCAACCAGAATCGGACATAAGCGATTCACAAGCTAACCGACCGTAATGTGGCGTAATTAACCGAAACACAGAAAATAAATGATAGCAGTTAGGCTGCGATCATTACTACAGATATCATCATTCAGCTGCATATTGTACATCACTGGTACCTGGTACCTGGTGCTTGTAAAATTCTTGCAGCCCTTAGAGCCTTACGTTTCATCAGGTTTTGTGAAACATACAGTTTAATTCGTTCGTTCAACACCAGTACTTTACTTACTACTTAGTAATTACCATCGTATCACAGGATGCAGATCATGCAGTACTAAACGGCACTCGAGTCTGCATGCTGCCGTACGTGCGCTAGTTTCTCCGTATACGTACATATCACCTTGTACTCCGCAACTCAAAACACGTGTTATTATTCACCTTGTTAAGGCAACGCTAAAAATAAGAAAAGCGACGGTTTTCAGAAAAGATCTTTCCATTGCAGTACGTAAAGTTTACGGCTAAAGAACAACGACGTCTTTTCGACTTGTACAGCTATACGGTAAACCAGCGTACAAAATTAGTAGCAAAGTCTCGTTTCGTGCTGAATGAGGCAGCTCTTTTGATCAGTGGTGGATGGCTGGATGCAACATGAAACATGAGAAAACATCCGGTCCGTTGCCATCGATTCTGGTGCGTGACGTGCTATTGTGGCGTTAGCAGGCGCTGATGCTGATGCGCGAGCACAAGTCAGGCTCGCTGGAGCATTCCCCTTGCGGGTGAACTGTCGTGTCGCTTGCCATTTCGGCTATGGTTGTACTCACCGTGAGCGCTGGAGGCGCGGATGCAGCATGCGTGCTAGCGGCCAATATAACCAACCGTCGAACAGCAACATAGGGTGAACTTGTACCAGAAGTCCGCGGTTTCCGATGCTCCAAGAAACTGCAGACTTATGATACGAGTAACTGCGGACAAGTGCGGACTGATTCTTACCATGAATGAATCGCTCTTCGGAGCAGTTAGGCGCAACGTGGTCAATTATCTGGTAGCGACTGAACCTGGTCCAGCTGTACTTTGATTTAGCGGCTCCGGTCGCCAAGGTGATGGTCCGACGCGGACTGGCCATCGTTTCATGGATAGATTTTTTGTGGCGTTTCGTCCAAATGTCTGGATTACTAACGATCCAGGCATTGAGACCAAGCGCCAAGCTCACTGTGCGGCGAAGTAGCGGAACTGGATGTAGTACTCCAGTACGTCCTAAGGTTTGTGGCCGCGAGCCGAGCTTAAATACCTAAACTTAATTTGGTTGATGGCAGCATCAACCAAATTAAGTCGAGGTATTTAAGCACTGGCAAAACTGGTTCCGGTTTCTATGGTACGCCATGAACACGGAAAACGCCCGGTTCCAGCTGGCGAGCGAAAGTAACTTGCCGCTTCTTTTTGTTGCGGGTGTGTATGTGTGCTCGTCTAATAATATGTCAACCATATCATGGGATCCCAGTTTGGCCGCGTTTTGCCGGAACGCGTTCTGAGGCAATATATCGGGAAATTCGACAAAAACATGGTGATCCAATAGTTGCTCCAGTAGGTGAAACCGCTGGGAGATGCCGGTACTAGTACCGGCACCGGCACCGGCATCTCCCAGCGGTTTCACCCGAACAAGCGTCTAACTAGTCCACCGACGCACCCAAGCGCTCGAAGACGGATGGAGCGTTTAATGGATCAAACTGCGTTTGAGCGGTGTTGGCTCCCGATGAAGGTTGGCTGGATCGCTGCTGAACTATCAATCCGGTGAGTGCTGCAATTCGCCTTGGCATTTCCGCCATTTGGATGATAAGTTCGGCTAGTGTTGGAGAAGGGGGTCCCCCTTCTCCAACACTAGCTGAACTTAGCATGGCTACTCGTAGGGAAGCAAAGAGGAAAATTTAACTGCTGGCTAAGATACAAGCGGAAAGGCACAGCTGCGCTTGGAGCATTAAACAATACCTATCGGAACTGGAGCGACAGCGAGTCCCCAGGGAAGCCCTAAAAACGGAAAACTGAACCCACGAAAAAATCAAATCAGTAGTTAAATCAAGGGGAAACATTACGAGTAGGCAACAATATTTTCCGCTGCTGATTGCTGACGGAATTGTTCAAGCTAATTCTGCGTGCGCATCATCCCTAGGTAGCGGATATAAATACAATATACATATGTCTGTAGCATTTGCAGTACAAAATAATCAAATGTTGTACTATGCATAATGATGTACAATGTAGGACGAAATGGTCGCATAGCCCCATACCCAGCATTCTGTACGCATGCGGTGCAGTGCACTTGTACGAACCGGATATTTTGAACACCGTCGTACAGTGCACTGCACTGCATTCGTACTGAATGTGGATAAGTTGGGTATGCGACCATTTTGTCCTAAGCTGTACGTATGGTCGACTCTTTCGTTCACTTTTCTTAGTTAAAAGTATTCCCTAATTTCTTATAATTGCGCAGCACATTGCGGCAAGTCATACCGGTAGTATCTGGAACGGGAATCTTCTGCCGTAAAACTTTACTCATCGGCAGCAGTTTTGCGGTAAGGGCTACGTTTTCCCGGGCCCCAACGTAATCCTGCTGGAAAAATGCTGCTGATGGACTGGACCATCCGGTAGATACTGCCCAAATGAAACAGGCATTCCGGTCCTCCAACAGTTTCCGCAAAACACATGAAGAGAATTTGTAAAATATTCGCTACATTTATTCTAAGCAGAGGTATGGAATTTATCGCGGTTATGCGCAAATCAAATGTGATAAAAACTTCGAATTTTTTCGGAATTTCGCAAGTACAAAATAAAAGGTTTATCAAGTTAAGATGGAAATGGTGTTGGTGTGACTAGCTCGACGGATGTTCGTAAATGTGGCTAGAAAACTTGTCCGGTCGCCGCGCTGTTAATACGCGACCGGCAGATCGATGAGTTGAATCCTTCTGTGAGTCTGTAGCAGCATGGCCTTTATCCGAGTCGGCGAGCACAAACGTATTGATCAATATAATATTATGGCTCTTGTCAGGTGTGTAAAGCTGTCTGCAACAAAATTTGACGCCGGACGGACATATACTTACAAATTTTGCTACTACGTAATACAGATACACCAGTATAAAAGTGTTAAATGTTTACTGGAGCGCTCTTCAACGTACGTGGAGCGCTCTTCAACGTACATTAATGGCATAATTTATTAAAATTATCCCATGTATTGTAAATCGAAAAGTAAAGCTCTGGAATGCCATTCAATAGACTAATGTAGCGCTTTGGACGGACCAGTTACAGTGACTGTTACACGTAGTTTGCTGGTGGATTGACCGTTTCATTGTGTTGACATTTTCCTTCAACATTTTAACGCCATAATGTTTAAGAAAAAAATGCTAGCGCAATGCAGCTTTCAATCAATCTTCAAAATTTTATTGCACACCCTTTCTACGCAATCTATTGGATCATTTCTCAGCGCGCGATGGGTTTTACCGGGTTACAGCCTGTTTGTATCTCCCTTGGGGGAGAAAAATTACACCTAAACTGGAGTGAAGAATTTTGAAGATCGCTGCAGAAAACTTGAAGCATGCACCACATGATTTGAGCTTTCTGGAACGATCTTTACTCCTTCGTATTTTGAATAAGACACACGGAATACATGGCTCCCTTATGGTGAGTAAAATTCGCTGTAATTTAATTTACACCTATGGCATAAATGTATTATTTTACGCTTTTGGATTTACAGTCTCCTTAACGCATCCTCATAATTTTTGTTCCATGTATCAGTTTTACTGTATCTGCAGTATCCGTTATATATCTTACATACGATAGTTTAAGGGGAACCCCTAGCCGCAGTTGGGTGGGTCTGGGAAAACGGGATTAGCATGGAAACGATGACCGGATATGTGTTATCCTTATTCTGACTGAGCGCAGAGAGGATTTAGCTACACAATGGTGTGGCGCGATCCTCTCTGGCCTGTGTCTAGACCGAGCTATTCACTAAACAAAGAAAAAACTTTGAAAGCAAAAGCTGAATGACAAAGTTTCTTTGTTTTTGACGTAACCCACATTGTTGTACGTGTTATCAGCTAGAAAGCTTATATAGAAACATGCTAATAAAAAAACTTCAATATCTGATCAACAAAACGCAAAAAACACTTTTCAAAAACTGTTTTTTTTCAGTTATTCGGAATGTAGGACGTAGAACAGCAGTGGTGTTTCGGTATATAAGCTTTCTGAAAAATAATCGATTTTATGATGTTGGCTGTGTTTCCATACCATGTTTGGTTCTCAAGTTTTAGATTTTCAAAGTCATGAATTTTGTGTTATTCAAAATTGCAACCAAAGAATGGGCTGTTCGGCAGACAGGCTGCTTATCGTGGCTGATCCGACTGGCCATGCGCGCGCTTTTAGCACACAAAGAGGTCAGGCAGACCACTCAAGAGAAACAGAAACTCACTGTGCTCAGTCAACACTGGCTTGGACATACCATCTCACCGCCTGCCTGCCGCAGGTGTATGTGGCCATGGCCAGCCGGCTACAGCGATCAGTTTACTCAATGAGCGCTTACCCGGTCTTGGTTTTTAAACTGCAACTTAAAGGAAGTTTTACTAATTGTGTTTTGCAATACATCATCATAAAGATAAAAGAATTCTCTACAAGGGCATATAAAACTTGGCAACTTTATGAAAGCGGCCAAACTAAAAACGCAGCGGCTAGTGGTCCCCTTAATAAAAAAACCCAAGAAAAGCAAAAATACATATATAAGCATTAGGAAAACATAAAAACATTAAACGGATACTTGAGAAATACGGGCCATTTACGGTAAGGATACGTAAGGACTCTCACCGCGGTACCCATCGAATATAAAAGCGGCAGGCAGGATACGTGGAGGATACATAAAGCATAGAAGTACTTCTACTCTGAGAATACGGCAGCATGTTTTGGCTGTTGATAGCTGATACGCGTGTGTAACCGTCCAAAACGTCCGGACGTCTGAGACGTCCGGCGGACGTTTTGGCGCTTAAACCGTCCAAAACGTCCGGGGGCCGCCAAAACGTCCGCCGTAAATTTTGCCCAAACAGTTTTTTTTGAATTTCCGATCTTAAACAAGACCAATGAGAGTAAATTCGTAGTCGGACGACGCCGGACGTTTCAGCCTGAGTGTAAATTCGTAGCCGGACTCTTCAGCCTGACAGTAAATTTAAAGCCGGACGTTTCTGCCTGACTGTAAATTCGTAGCCGGACGTTTCTGCCTGACTGTAAATTCGTAGCCGGACGTTTCAGCCTGAGTGTAAAATCGTTTTTTTACGCATCGAATTTACGCTCAGGCTGAGACGTCCGGCTACGAATTTTCAGTCAGGCAGAAACGTCCGGGTACGAATTTACACTCAGGCTGAAACGTCCGGCGTTGTCCGACTACGAATTTACTCTCATTGGTCTTGTTTAAGATCGGAAATTCAAAAAAAAACTGGGTGGGCAAAATTTACGGCGGACGTTTTGGCGGCCCCCGGACGTTTTGGACGGTTTAAGCGCCAAAACGTCCGCCGGACGTCTCAGATGTCAGGACGTTTTGGACGGTTACAGACGTTAAACCATTGGAATATAATGGTTTAACGTCTGATTTAAGTTTATAAGTTTTTGGAATATAATGAATATCTTGCTAATATGCGGTGTACTTTCTCTGACATTGCAGTAACGAAGTACGATGCAGAAGTGCGACGGTCTGCAACAGATAAAGTTTGATTTAACAGATCAGCATGCTCGTTTCACAATTTCCGCTAAACATTTCCATGCGGGTGCACGACGCACAGAAAGTAACGGCAGCAACAAAACCGTTATTAAAAGTGCCCGGTATTCCAAATACAAGCACCATTGTTGCTACAATTGGCAGGAGAACCGCTGTGCAAAACGCCCAAACGAGTGTTCCTTCCCACACTTGTGTGGCGAGTGCAACGGTAACCATCGTTTTGTTCACTGTCCCACGCAGCGGCAAAATGTGGGACATGGCGCAAACTGACTAAATCCGGAACTGTTTCCCAATTTCGTTTCTAAAAAAATTGGCAATTATTGTTTGGACGATGACCTTTTACATAGGTGTTCGTTAACAAAGTCGTTTTCTTATTGGGTTGATTTTCTTGTTGACGACTTTGATGCAGATTTTATTCTTACCGGTTTATCGTCTGGTTTTCCTCTTGTACCAGATATTTCTCTTGTTACCGCAGTTGACTGCAAAAATTATTCTAGCGCCTTAATTCCTGAAGCAAAAGCAGCCCTAGATAAGCTTTTCCTAGAAGAGCTAGGTCAAGGGCGCATAATGCAGCAGGATGCCAAACCACTCCGTATTCAGGCTATTTGGAGCAGTACCAAAGAAGGGGTCAAGCTCTTATCGCCCTATCGCGGATTGCAGTAGGCCGTACGGTTGTTCATTGAATTCCTTTATCGAAACGGATACGTTTGCCTTTGACTCCGTGGATGATGTAATTGATTTCAGTACTCCTAATTGTTATTACGCGGTTGTGGATATCAAATCCGCCTATCGGTCAGTACCGGTACGGCCCGATCATAGACAACTGCAGGGTTTTCGTTGGTCATTCAACAATGATGTTTCGCTTCATTATGTTGATTGTTTTTTGTGTTTCGGTCGCTCCAACGCACCATCTATTTTTCAGCGGATATCCACAGCCGTTGCACGCATACTGCTTTGGCGTGGACGTAAAATTGTTGTTTATTTAGATGATTTTCTTGTTAAAACAAATTCTTTAGAGGAGTGCGAACTGGTTAAAACTGAACTCGTAAATTTACTGCAGCAGCTGGGGTTTGTAGTAAACTGGGAAAAAATGCAAGGCCCTGCTACGAGACTTGTTTTTCTTGGGTTGATAATTGATTCCGTTGCGCAACGCATCGAACTGCCAGAGGAGAAAATTGCCGATATCAAACAATCGGCATTAGGTCTAAATGTGCAGACACGAGTAACGAAGCGTGAGTTACAGGTTTTTGCCGGCAAAGCATCCTTTGCAGCCCGTGCAGTTTACGGTGCAAGAACTTTTTCGCGGATCTTTTTCGACAAAATCGCTTCCCTTAAACGGCCTACTGATCGTCTCAGACCATCAAAAGTACTGCAAAATGTGCTGGAATGGTGGACGGTTGTTGCGCCAACGTTAAATGGGTTGTGCGAAAGTCGTTTTGTAAGTTACCGCCCTGTACGGACAATATGCACAGATGCGTCATTTTCGGGTTTTGGTGGAGTATCCCAGGGTATATGGCTTGCCGGTAGTTGGTGTCATATACCTAAGCCACCGGCAGGTTTTGAACAGAACTGGGTTCCGCCACCCGTGCTCGATAAATCGTTTATTGGGAACATTAATTTTTTGGAGCTTATAGCTGCATGTATTTGCGTTGTTGTTTTAGCACCAGTCTTGAAAGGGTGCAAGGTAATTGTCAAATCGGATAATACGCAAACAGTAGCCTTTCTGAACAGAGGCACTACGAAAAGTATCCCGGCGATTGAGTGGTTAAAGCTTATTTGTTTTCTCAGTTTAAAATACGATTTCCGTTTGGTCGCAGTTTACTCAGCCGGGGTACAAAACGTAGCAGCAGACGCGTTGAGCCGGTTAACAGAAAGCGAGGCTTTTGCGAAGAAAT